TTATAAAAATATAATAATTCAAAAATCAAAATAGCAGTGTGTATTTGAGGCGATTAACTTCAGAAAATAGCTTCCAGTGTTTTCTATAGTGAAAGTCCTAGGGGGACTGGTTACATTTTCTGAACTTGAATCGCCTAAAGAACAAACCACTATTTCGATTTTTGAATTTTTCCTCAAACCAGATTTAATGATTGGTAAACTATCTTTAGGAAACAAAAAAAAAATCCTTTATATGCACTTTAAGACTMAAGACACATTGGATCTGTCAACAAAAAATATGACTTTTAAAAATTTGGTTGCAATCAAGTTCATTCATATTTCTCATAAATATAATTAATGTGTAATATGTATACTGTAAATGTGACCCTATTTGCGAAAACCAGGCTTAAGGAAAATTGCTTTGAAATGCATTTTCAACGCGTTAATAATGTTCCTCAACGCGTTCAAAATGTTCCTCAAAGCAATAACAATGTTCCTTAACGCTTCCACAATGTTCCAAAACGCGTTAATTATTATCAGTGATTTTGACAACATTCAAAAGCGTTGCCAACGCTTCAAAATGCATTTTGTTGTTCGCCCACTTCAAAATGCGTTTGAATGCGTTTGACATCACTGTTTTGATCGCTTCATAATGTATTGGATATCGTTGTCATTACTTCAGAATGCGTTGTGGACATTGTTGCCTCGCAAATCTTAATGCTTTGAATATCGTTGTCATCATTTCAAAATGCGTTATGTGAAATCAAGGCATTCCTGCGTTGGAAATTCCTCTCATTGTATCCATTGTACATCGTGCCCATAATTAAACGGCTCTTCAGATATCGTTCGATCTCTATGTCGTGGTATGTCGTGGTCGTGACTTAATTGGCGACCATTTATACAAGGATTCAAATTCTGGAAAAATTGATTGCAAACGAACTTGCACAGTACAGAGTCTACTGGTTACTTTTAAGAGCGTTGAAGATTCAGGGAGCAAGTAAATTCATGTTTAGTTTTCCATGCCCATTCTGTGGTATTTTTAACGCACGTCTATACTAGGCTAAAATAAACCGAAGTGCATTCTTCAAAAATGTACATTAAACTCCAAGTTGTATTGTCTAGCATTTACAATTAGTAATCCTTTCAAAATTTGAACTCAACGGGAATTATTTGTCATCGTTTTGTCACTCCATCCCTGTTAATTATTTTGTGAGCCGTCAAAATGACCGCCAAAAAGCTTGAAGTCAACTGAATAAAATTCACAATAAAATTCACTAGTTGTTATTAGCATACTAGTAATGACTTTATAATAATGATAATAAAAACTATTGACATTGGAAAACAGTAACATTGGAATCCTTTGAAACGGTTATCACGATAGGCAACGATCAGTTRAAACGTTTTGCCGCGGTTCTCAACGCTGTTCTAACGATAAGATAAAACGTTCATAATGTTTTGAAACGGTCCTCAACGTTGTTCTAACGATAGGATAAAACGTTCGTAATGTTTTGAAACGGTAATCAACGTTGTTCTAACGACATGATAAAACGTTGGCAACGTTTTTAAAACGTTGCTCAACGCTTGTTCCAACGATTATCACAATGTTTTTTGCAATGTCTTTCAAACCATTGGGAATGTTTTTCAACGCAGTGACAATGATATAAAACGCGTTGTTGACGTGACAGAACGCATTCACAATGATTCAAAACACGTTATAACGCAATCTGGTGAAAATACTATTTCCTTTAAGCCTGGTTTTCGCAAATAGGGTCACAAATGCACATGGCAAGAGCTTGAATTCTATGCAGTGGTTTGATTTCATGATTATTATTGTACAGAAATATTCAAGGTTATTATAATTATTATATTCAAGGTTTTGGTTTTAATTATTCATACAAAATTATAATAAGATATAAAAAAAATATTTGTTTGAATATACATAAATAACAGACTCCTTTTGAGCTGTAGATACTACATGTAGATAGTGTATAATGCCATAGTCACAAGAAGACAAACTTTAGAATGTTAACAAAATCTAAAAGGCTATAAAAAGTGTTTATACCTGATGGACAAGTGTTTTCTCATTTAATGTGTGTGTTTTTTTTGTAGTGATTTTGAAGAACAAATTAAGAAATATCGAGTAATAAGGTAGGTTGTTGTGTTTCTGGCAATGTTGAAGTTATTTTGGTTTGCTTATCTCTTTCCATGCAATAACAATTCTTCTYTTATATCACACATAGTTTTCATTTGAGATCTCTAAAAATGTACTCTACAACATTGTAATAATAGTCAGAGAGCTTGCAAGTAAACTGCACATTAATTTTATCAGATTACTCGATACTTAATATTCTGCAGGGATAATTATGACAAGAAATTGAAGCATAAAAGAAACAAGTCAAAGAAGAGCAAAAAGAGCCCAGCTCCCACTGGCAATGTGAGTAACATCAGAAATCATTTGTTGTTCCTGTATCTATTGCTGCTATATTGTCTACATTAATGTCTAATTTAATAAAGCACCACCAACTTTGCCTTCAGGGATTTCCCTGTGTATTGTGATACATGTTGTTTTAAAGAATAATTTCTAAAGTACTGACAGGGCTTCTGAGATGATTATGTTACAATGCAATATTCTATAAAGTGTGTAGSCACATAAAAAGCTTGATGGCAATATTTGTCTGAAAGTTATGCTGTAAAAAGCACCCATTCTGAAATTTTGCAGATTTTGTGCAAACATTTTTCTGCCAATCACACCATGGAAGATAAAATTATTGTCAGATTTTTAAGAAAATAATTTTAGGAACCTGTCTTGTGCAATTGAGTTAAAAATATAAAATGAAAATAWATGTAGTCAATAGATAGTATTTGTGTCCTCTCCCAAAGCTATGGGAAAAAGTCTGGGTTGTAACTGGTGATACATGTATGGATTGTAATGTTGTGGGGATATATGTTCTTTAGCAGAATAGAGGTCTGTTTTGTGAAAAAAAGGCTGTAAATCAAAAATAGTGAAGACCATGAAATACCATACAGCACTTTTGGACATCAGATCCAACTTCAAAATGACAGACAAGTTAAATAACTAGCAAGTACTTTTAAAAACAAGAGGCTAGTCGGTCTAGAAATTTAAATTAGTCTGCCATTTTCCAGTCTGCCATTTTCCATTCAGTCTGTAAAAAAGAATTACAGCCTTGTCATAAATGTAATAAACTCAAGCACTAAGTCAACTTTAGTTTAAATATCAGTACATATTAGGTGTAACTAATTCTAATATGCATAGCAAGAGCTTTTGTCTATTGTTAAAGTCTTGAGGTGCTGCTTGTTTTTAAAGCTCTAAAAGGCMTTAATGTCATGACATATAATCTTTTATGATAAGTAAATAAGACTAATAATATTCAGTTGCAAAAAAGGGACTTGTAATTAGGGCAGAATTATCATTTCCCTTCTTTGATAACAACAAGACAGTGTGAAAGGTTAAATCAACTTGTACAYTATGTACATATATTAAACAATGTTGTTACTTAAAAACTTATCAGCAAACAGAGGAAGAAGCTAAACCTGACTCAGAACAACTACAAGTTGAGCAACAGCATCAACCAGAACAGGAGACTCCTCCTAAAGTCAATGTAAGACATGCAGTCATGGTGTGATATCACAGCGCTGTACATTGACATGTGATATTCAATAAATTGTGAAATGCATGGAAACAACCCATTGAGTAATAAAATATTCTAGTGAATAGAATTACAGCAACTGGGCCCATTGCATAAAACTGACCATAAGTGACATTTATCATATTATACAATGAGTGGATTGGCTAATTAAAAAACCTTGAAAAGAACGGTTCAATGTGATTGGTCAATGATAGGAAATTACTATCCCCACTATGATAGAGTTGATAGTCTGGCCRGCAGACATTGAATTCTGTATGGTTGGTTTCCATGGCATTATCATACTTTGTTTGATATCAGTATTAACAGGATAAAAGTGTATCGAAGTTTTAACATAACATTCATTTTTTTTGTGTCTATTTTGTTAAATCCAATTTAATGTTAAACTTGATAACCTAACTAACTATCTAAGGTTAATGACTAATATAATAAAAGCATGCGTTTTAAACCCACCATAACTCCCTAAAGCATAAACATGTTAAATGTAACAATTTTACTAAGTTTGCTTGATGGAGACGTACATAATTAATATTTTAATATGTTCATTCGTGGTTTGATCAGTGATGTATGATGTCATTGATTTTGATAACATTTTATTGTTCTTTATTTTGTATTGATATTTGTTAATGATGGTGAGCTTGAAACTGTCATTCAAATACAGACTGAGATAGCTATCAAACTTAGATCTGAGACTGAAGATTTTTATAATTATGAAAATGTTAGTTATTTATTCTTAATTCATTAATCATTTTCGTCATCAAAGATATAGAAAACGTGCAATTAATAAAAGTAATTTCAAAACAATTGACTGTACTACCAGCTTTATGAGACGGRGTTTATTACCATCATTAACAAAATATTTCTTTTGTTGGGGACTATAACTGTTGGAATTGTAATAAACTATCACTTAATATCATAAYGAACATCCATTTTTTTAACAAGAGTGGCAATCGTTTGGATTTTTCTTGAAATCCTAAACATATTTGGTTCTCAATAGGCAGACCAGACAATTTGCATACCCTCAATCAAACATGTTTCTAGCAAGGAGCCATGAGCTACTCCTTGCCAAAGCTGTTTGTATTTGATAAGTTGTTCTATATTGTGTCCTTCTTTTACTTTAAAACTACAAGCATTTTRGTGAATTTACCTTTTTAGCTACATTAGCCATGCTAAAGGCCAGTAAATCTTTGTCAGTTCTTGTTACAGTGTTTGAGGGAAATGCCACTCACTGAATTCAATGTTTTCTATCCAGTGCAAGACCAAGTATGAAAAAGATCCTCCATTTCTTGAAGCAACTGGTGGCAAACTGCATGAATATCAAAAGGAAGGCTTGAATTGGCTRAGATTCTCATGGGCACAGGGAACCAATACCATACTGGCTGATGAGATGGGATTAGGAAAGACTGTCCAGACAATTGCCTTCTTGTACTCCCTGTATAAAGAGGTAAGCATACTGTGCTATTTCACATGTCAAGATATCAAAACCGTTTAATATGTATGAACATGGTTTAAGTTTAAAACAATACAATCCATTCTCTGTCACAAGCTATTGCCTCATAAATATTGAATAAAGTATCTTATTCTTTACATCATTGTGTTAGGGCCACTGTCAGGGACCATTCCTTATCAGTGCCCCTCTATCTACATTGATAAACTGGGAGAGAGAGTTCGAGTTCTGGGCTCCAGACATGTATGTTGTAACCTATGCTGGAGACAAGGACAGTAGAGCAACRATAAGGTATCAATATTTATGACTTTTTTCACCCTTTTCCCTAACAAAATGCAAAAAAAAAAAAACTGTGTTCAACATGTTCAATCTAGCGTTCCATTAAAATTAGCCAGTAAAACAATATAATGCAGTTGAGGTTGGAGAAATAGAAAGTTGAGCAGGTGGTATTTATTGATAAGAATATTCCAGATTCAAAACAACTTTAGAATGCTCTTTACAATGCATTAACAAAATACACAAGAATGTACAAAGCATACCATTTCTCCATATCATAGATGAATTCGTACTCCTAAAATTGAATGTATGTTCATTCTTGCATATCATGCTGTTATGTTAAATTATAGTCATAGTTAATATTCTTTTCTGTCTTTTGTTTTCTAGAAATTATGATTTTTCTTTTGATGAAGATGCAATCAGGGCAGGATATAAGCCTTATAAGCTTAAGGTAATGTTGACAGGATGATCACTCTGATTATAATCATGATAATAGCTAATTTCTTATTTACTCTGTTGTTCTTGCAGAAAGAGTGTCCTGTTAAGTTCCATGTCCTGTTAACATCCTATGAACTAGTAAGCATTGATGCTAACACACTACAATCTATTGACTGGGCAGTACTKGTTGTGGATGAGGCTCATAGGCTAAAAAATAACCAGTCTAAGGTAACAATGCTTATTATATACTAACGATAGAGCAGATTTTGTGACTACAATAAACAATGCTGTGCATTTGATGGCATCAATACCAAG